AGCAATAGCGAGGTGCTAAGCAATTCAGTGAGACCCTACTTCTAAATAAATACAAAATAGAGCGGGGGACCTGGCTCAGTGGCCAAGTGCCCCTGCCCTGGTACCAAAAAAAAAAAAAAAAAAGGTGGGGGGGCCACCATCTATGGGATCCAGGAGACCAGGAAGCACTGAACCCATTTGTGATCCAGAAGAACAGAGGGTTTAGAACTCAAGACACACCTGGCTTTGAATCTCAGGATGTGTGGAACAAAACTGAACCACAGAAGCTTAACTAAATAGCGGGTGATTTCTCAAATAGTTTAGAAGGCCAAGGTAGGAATCCTGGGCGCTGCAGTGATTCCATGGTGCATGGAGAGCACAGGCTTCAACTACATTCCACTCTGCCATCCTTAGCATAGGACATATTTTTCTTCTCTGTACCAGTTTTCTCATGGAAAAAAAATGTGAATAACATGGCTGGGGCTGGGGCTCAGTGGTAGAGCACTTGCCAAGCATGTGTACTATACTGGATTCGACCAGTATATTACACATTTATATAAATAAATGAATAAAGTAAAGGTCCATCAATATCTAAAAACATATTTTTTTAATATTTATTTTTTAGTTGTAGTTGGACACAACACCTTTATTTCACTTGTTTTAATTTTTGTACGGGGTGCTGAGGATCGAACCCAGGGTCTCGCATATGCGAGGCAAGCGCTCTACTGCTGAGCCACAACCCCAGCCCTAAAAATATATTTTTAAAAATGGGAATAACAGTAACTTCTTTATAGGGCTGCTGCAAATTTAAATGAGATATTTGCAAAGAGCTTAGAAGAGTATCTGGTACATGGTAAGTGCTTTAAAAATATTAGCTATGATGATAATGATGATGATGATAATGATTGTGATGATGATGGTGATGATGATAGTGGTGGTAACGGTGGTGGTGATAATAGTGGTGATGGTGGTGATGTTGTACTCAGGCTGAAAAAATGGCTGCTGCTCCTCTAGGTATCACATCTTTATCCCTGGCAAGAATGGAGGAATGGCAAAACAAAAAGTGAGTGTGGGCTGAATCCATCTCTTTATTTTTTTTTCCGTAAAAAATAATTTTTTTCCCGAAATTTATATAACATTAAAATTAAATGTTTTAAAGTGAGCGATTTGGTGACATTTAATACATACACTGCATTGAACTAACACCAGCTCTGGTTCCAAAACCTTTTTGTCACTCTCAAAAGGAAGCCTGGTCCTTCTAAGCAGTTGTCCCCTGTTTCCCCCTACCCCCAATCTCTCTGTGGTTTTATCTATTCTGAATAATTCCATCTGTTTTTAAAGAGCTTTCCAGGAAGCCCTACCCAGTCTCTTTTGCTCACATCTCATTGTCCAGGAATGTGTCTGATTCTTGGCTGGGCACATTGCTGCCCTAAATAAAATCAACATCTGTCACTCTATATTCTAATACTTAGAGCACCTACAATTATATTTGATTAATTGGAAGACACACAAGTTCTTTTCCACATTTTAACTTTTACAGAATAAGAAACTTCTTAAATTGATAACATCTCATATTTAATGAAATACAGTACTTTCAGGCACTGTTTGGGGTGCCTGATTGAAATGGGCAAAGTTCCCTGCTTTTATGGAGTTGATGCTTTATTGGTGGGAAGACAAGTAATTAAACATAGTAAATAAGCAAATTAATTATTGTGTTAGAAGATCATAAATGCTTAGGGAAAAAAACTTCAAGAAGAGCAAGGTAAGTCTCATTCCAGGGATTGAACAGGAACAGATTACTATGTTAATGTATTCGTTATAGATAACTACTGCTGTGTAACAAGTTATCCCAATACTTCATAGATTAAAACACAAACTCTTATTCCCTTTGATTCTGTGGGTCAGGAATCCAAGGGCAGCTTAGCTAAGTCATTCTGGGATCTCTCATGAGGTTGCAAATAGGAGGTTGGCTGGTACTGTGATCATCTGGAAATGTGATAGGAGCTGGAGGATTCACTTCTAAGATGGCTCACAGATATAGCTGTGGGCAAAAGGCAGTAGTTACTCACCGAATGTTGGCAAGAAGCCTCAATTCCTTGCCATATGGGCCTCTCCATGACTACTTGAGTGTCCTCACAACATGTCAGCTAAAGTCCCCCAGAGATAATTATTCAAGAGAGAGAGAGAGAGAGAGAGCAAGGAGGAACCCACACTATTTTTTATGAACTAGACTTGTAACTGTCCCCATCACTTCTGCTATTTTCTATTTGTTACAAGTGAGTCATGATATCTACTCTGCATTCAGGGAGAGGGGAATTAATGGAGGAGTATCAAAGAACTTGTGGACATATTTGGAAACCACTGCAATTAAGTAGGGTGACTAGGATAAAAGAAAAGTAATATTTGATGGAAGACTTGAAGGAGATGAGGAAATTGTCCAGGCAGACAAGGGGGAGAAGGGGAAAGCATTCCAAGCAGAGGAAGCAACGAGAGCTGTGGGCCAGGAGCTAACCTGGTATGCTGGTAACAAAGGGAAGGAGAGCTGTCCCTGGGAGGCAACTAGTGGGGCTGCCACACTTCTCTCTTCCGTCACTAGCTAGCTGTGTGACCTTGGGCAGATCACCTCTCATTCTGAGTTCCAGTTGCCTCCTCGTAAAATGGGAGTGATAGTTCAGGTTGAGTAGCCCTTACCCAAAATTCTTAGGACCACAAATTCTCTAGATTCCAGAGGTTTTCAGGTTTGGGAATATTTGTATAGACTTTCTGGTTGAGCATCCCTAATTTGAAAATCTGAAATGCTCTGAAATCCAAAGTTTTTGCATCATACCAAACATGTTTGATGGCTCCTATCTTTAGACACCACATGGCTAAGGCCCCCTTCTCTTTCAATCACTGCTCAGAACTCACAGTCTCTATAAGGCTTACCTTGGTCACCCTATGCAAATCTACAACCTGCTACTGCACTGTACCCCAATCTTCTCCCTACTCAACCCCTCTGCCACATTGCAATATCACTTTCTAACACGTGGATTATTATTTTACTTAGTTTGTTGTTTACTGTACGTCCACAAGCGCTTGACTGGGATTCTTAACCCAGATCCTATAAACTCCTGAGAAGTCTACGGACCATCCTCCACCAGATCAGTTAGCCCACTGGACGCATATACAATAGTTTATCCCCATGATGTCTGAAGCTTTCATTAAATTCTCAAGAGAGTTGCAAGACCCCAAGAGCTTAAAAATCACAAGTGGATCACCACCTGGCATAGAGTAGGTGTTGGATAAATAACTATTGGCCAAATTAATGAACTTAAAAACACTATTCACACACATTTTTTGAAAATCAAAAACTGTCGTGTGGTACAACAACTTCAAAATGCTGGTGTCCTTGAATCAACTGTGTCAGAATAGTAGAATAATTTTTATAAACACAGATTTCTATATTCAAAAATACCCTCAGAGAGTATGAGTTGGGGGTTAGGGTGAGGCCAGATATTCTGTCTTTTTCAAAGCTCTCCCACACATACACTTACATACCTCCAGATGAATCTGGATTTAGGCATTTGTGTGTAGTCTTCCCTTCATTGAAGAGAAAGACTTGGGAATTCAGCATGCAGATTTTACACTTTGTAAAAATGCTGATCACACCTGTGGTCATTTGTGATCTTCCCACAAACTCTCAGGCATGGATCACCATCTCCCTTTCACTGAACTGAAAGCTGAGGCCCTGGGGAATCAAATGATACCCTCCCATCCCCAGACAACAACCAAGGGTCACATGCCTGCAGGTGGCAGGACCATGATTAGAACTTGGCCTTCTGAACTCTCACTCTAGGCTTCTCCACTCTACACCAATTAGATAAACCAAGTTCCAGGAAGTCCCAAGGCAGCGACTGGGGGAGGGGAGTCAGAGGAGGGAGGAAAAGAGTGGCAAACACGTGGGGGTTAAGGTTCAGGGAGGCTGCCTCCTGGACGTGGGAAAGATTCCAGTTGCTCTAAGAGCTCAGAGAACACACAGCATTCACATGCCAATTCGTTGCTTATGCTCACTGGACAGTCATTTTCTCTTTGTGTGCCTCAGTCTCTTCGTCTGCAAAACGGGGTGTTATTATCCCAGAGGGAAGTCCTTAGGAACTGAGCTAAATCCAGCCTTTCATTCATTGAAGGAACGCTTCTGCATATCTGTGTGCCAGTCACCGTGGTGGGCACTCTACAAGCCTGCACTCATTTAACCCTTGCCATACTGCAGTAGGAGCTGTGCTGCTGTTGTCAGCGTCTTACAGATGAAGAAACTGAAGCTCAGGTGTATGAATTGCAATTCATTCCGTCATTTATTCATTCACTTGACTTTTACCCAAAGCCAGCTCTGGGCTGGGCTCTGGGCCAAGCGCTGAGGATAAGAAGATGAACAAGTCCTTCAGGAGACATGCCCATAAATTACTCTAATAACAACTCAGTACATGCTTCAACAGACAAGGTGCAGTGGGAGCCAGAAGAGACGCAACTGGCTCCCTGAGGTTATGGGGATGGATGGGTGGGAACGCGGGAGACCTTGCACTGTTGAGGTGCCTATGCCCTGTGTAAATGATGCAGTCACCGGCATGGGTTCGAGTCCCTCTCCCTTTGATCTGTATTCCCAGGAAACCTCCTCTTCCTCTGAGCCTTGGTCTCCATCTGGAAAATTAAAGAGGTTGGTGGGACTGAGATTCTGCAGCTCTAGAGCGCCTAAACCTCTGACCTTTCCACTTCACCGTCTGCTAAATTCAAGCTCGGCTCCAACCTAGTCTGGAGTGAGCCCCCAAAAGCCAGATCAAGCCCCTCTGGAAAGTGCCGAACACCTCTCCCGCCCTCAACAGTCAGAGCCTGGGGTGGGGCCTGGGACTCAAAGGACAGAGCTCCATCAGGGGGTGGGGCTGAGTCCTAGATCTAGGAGCGCGTGGCACGCCCAGAAGCGTTTCATCCAGCCAATGATAGCCCTGGGGCGGGGAATCCCCGCCTCTGGGTATAAGTGGTCGCGGGCCCCCTGGATCCACAAGCAGGTCTTGGAGCGGGACCGGGTGGGTGTTTGTTTCTGTTGCTGCCCAGAGCCTGGGCCGTGGGGTGCGCAGGAGCGTGGAACTCCGTGCGCTCTGGGCTAGGCAGGAGAACCGGTCGGATTCAGTTTTCCTTTACCTGACTGAGCTGCAGGTACGGCACGGTGCCTGGGTCTCCTGCCTCGGAGGAGCAACTGGCCGGGTCCTGGGGGGGCGCCCGCGCTGATCATCCGCCCGCTGCCCCCACAGGCAGCCAGACTCTGCCATGGCTGACCACCTGATGCTCGCTGAGGGCTACCGCCTAGTGCAGAGGCCGCCGCCGGCCGCTACCAACCACGGCCCTCACGGGATTCGGACTCTGCAACCGTACGCGGGCCCGGGTATGGACAGCGGGCTGCGGCCGCGGGGAGCTCTGTTGGGACCGCCCCCGCCCCCACCCGGGGCCGTGTCGTACGGGGCCTTCGGGCCGCCGTCCTCCTTCCAGCCTTTTCCGGCCGTGCAGCCGCCGACCGCCGGCAGCGCGCACCTGCAGCCTGCGGCGACACTGTACCCAGGCCGCGCGACCGCGGCCCCGGGCGCCCCCGGAGGCCCCCCAGGCCCGCAGCCACAGCCCGCCGCCGTGGCCCCGCCGCCGCCAGCGCACGTCCTGGGCGGCATAGACGCCGCCGAACTCATCGACGAGGAGGCGCTGACGTCGCTAGAGCTCGAGCTCGGGCTGCACCGCGTGCGCGAGCTGCCCGAGCTCTTCTTGGGCCAGAGCGAGTTCGACTGCTTCTCGGACTTGGGGTCGGCGCCGCCCGCCGGCTCGGTGAGCTGCTGAGCGCGCCGCGGAGAAGCGGGCCTGACCTCCGGCGGGACTCCGCACCCGGCGACCCGGCCCCGGACACACCCTCTGTGAGGGTGGAGGCGGCGGGTTTGTGCGCCGAGCGCCGCAAGGGGCTGGGACTCCTGGCCTGCCTTCATCGGGGTGACAGTTGGCTTCACTTCTCTGACCTGAACCCCAAAGTGAAGGAGACTGGACCAGCTTTTGGACTCCACGTTCTTGGATTTTGTGTCCTCTTTTCTCGGCCCCTCCCCCCCAATCTGAGCCATGGCAGGCCTCTGCCTGATTTCCCTTCTTCTTGTGCAGCCCACTACCGGAACTGGGTCCCGGAGCCACCATTCCTTGAGCCCTTGAGCCGCACCCCCGCCGCCTGAGCCCCCACCCTCGCAGGGCCTCTGGCCTGCGGGAGGGGAAGATTGTACAGCTCTATACCCTGCAGAGTGGAGCAATGCCCCATCTGGCCTCCAAAACCAAAATAAAATTGGGTCACTTTATAGTCTTTGAGTTTTCATTTCCTTATCACTCCAACTCCCAGCTATATTTAGCTTCCAGAGTCCTGAGGCTGTTGAAGACTCTGGGTGGGAGGGGAGCCACATCGCCCAGCAGTGCCCAGGACAGGAAACCGACAGTTTCTTTCCAAAATATCTTGTAAGTTGTGCAATTGTGATGTCATAACCTGGAAGGCAGAGACTGCCACAGGGTGGCAAAATAACCCACTGGCCTTCCCAGCTCCTAGGGTGGGGGGAGCTTGGTGGAGTTGTGGAGGAGCTGGCTGTACCTGAGGAGTCAGATAGCCCTGGCTTTGGATCATGACTCTCCAGTGTCCAAGACATCATCCTTTCAGACTTCCCAGGCTATTTCCTCAGAGGGAGATGCTCCTTTCTCCTCAGGTGTTTGTGAGGCCTTTAGCAGAGTGCCAGGCTCCTAGACAGCCCTCAGTAAATGATGGTGAGGATCATTCTATGAATTGGCACCAGCTTTATTCCTGGCTGTATGCCCTCATGGAATCACAGTCCAGGTGGGAGGAGACAACAGACCTGGGAATAACTAATCTTGGTATAACATGATGAGGTCCAGAATGCAGGTGGAACTGCCAAATGGGCAAACCCAGAGGAGGGAGCAGTTTCAGCTGGTTGAGGTGTGACATTTGATGTGATAAGAGCCTGGACTGTTGAATATGTTTTTAGGAAAACAACCTGTTTAAAGGCAGGGAAACATACCAGTCCAAGGAATCTATGGGGAGGGAAGGTTCAGAGTGTCTAAAAGGGACAAGAAAAGTCTAGCAACTTTATGACAACTTTGTGAGGTCAGCACAGTTCTCCTTCCATCGTCTGGAGCTTGCCCAGGCCTAGCAGGATTTAGCCTCAGAGTCCTGATAACCAATATGAGTTCCTGCCTGCCCTCTGCTGTTGATTGTCTCTAAAAAGATCCTTGAGGGTGTGGGAGAAAGACTGGAAGAGACCAAAGGTGGGGAGGAAGCTGGGTCAGAGACACTGCAGACAGAGCTAGGATCAGGCAGGGGGGCATTCTCTGGAGAAGAAACACAGGGTTGAGACCTTCTGTCCCCAGTGGTTGGGCTTTGCTGTAAGGCCAAGTTTGTCAATGTGACTCTCCCGCAGCCAAAGTTTCCCCTGTGTTAGTACCAACCTTGAAACTGTCAGGACAGGCATGGAATGAATGATAGGAGGTGTTTGATAAATTAATAAAGGTAATCCCTGATGTGACAAGATCTTCTGGGATAGGATGGAGAAAAAGAAGAGAGGCTTCTAGGGAAGAATGGCCTGAGCTCTGGGCTGAAAGGCCAGCGTTTGCTCCAGCTTTGCCCAGAAACCCAGGCCAGAGACAGAAACCCAGCGGCTGCAATGGGACAGGAAGGTTAGACCCCGGTTTGAACACTGCCTTGATTCCCTTCTCCCTGAGTCTCAGTTTTCCCACCAATAAAATGAGGCTAATATGTCCTGGCCCTTTACAAGACCTAAGCCTCACCATTAGTGAGGAGGAACTAATGCAGGGATGGGTTGATATCTGTTGACAATCCTTAAGCACTCTCCAAGTGGAAAGGATTCAGCAGAAGCCCAACACCTGCCATATTCCAAGTGAAAGTACAAGTGGAGGAGGGAGTCCCCTGCAGAGCTACCACCCCTCAGACTCCCCCAACCCCTCAGACTCACCAGCTTCCAGAGTTCCAAGGGGTCTCTCACCTAAAGCAACCTGATGCCACTCTGCCCTGTAGATTCTACTCTCATACCTGGGTCGGGTCTTTGGAGTCAGGAGTTAGACTCCCTAAAAGCTAGGACCTGAGTTGTGACTCAGGCAGGACCTGTTCCTATCTTTTTTTTTTTTTTTTAATTCCTATTCATATGAAAGTTTCCCTAGATTGTTTGGTTTGGCTTGGTTTGGTGCTGGGGGCTGAACCCAGGGGCACTTTACCACTGAGCCACATCCCCAATCCTTTTTATTCCTAATTTTGAAGCAGGGTCTTGCTAAATTGCTTAGGGCCTTGCTAAATTGCTGAGACTGACCTTGAACTTGCAATTCTCTTGCCTCAGCTTTCAGAATTGCTGAAATTACAGGTGTGTGCCACTGCACCTGGCTTTGTTTTTGTCTTTGAGATGTTTTTGTCTTTGAGAGTATCTTTGTGTTACCCAGTCTGTCCTCGAACTTGAGATCCTCCTGCTTCAGCTTCCCAGGTAGCTGGGGTTACAGGTTTTTACCACCATACCTGACCCCAGACTGATATTCTTAATTTTGAATTATCTTTTAGTAGATTAGATCTTATCACCAATCCTTTGGTTTTTTTTTTTTTTTTCCTTCAAGAAAAGTAGAACTTCTCTCAAACTCATCTGTAAAATGGGTACTAAGCTACTGTTCAGAATTTATCTCAGGGCTGGGGATGTGGCTCAAGCGGTAGCGCGCTCGCCTGGCATGCGTGCGGCCCGGGTTCGATCCTCAGCACCACATACCAACAAAGATGTTGTGTCTGCCGAGAACTAAAAAATAAATATTAAAAAAAATTCTCTAAAAAAAAGAGAATTTATCTCAATTGATCTAGAATTTCCATCACCATCTGATCCCAAAGACCTCTTCTAAGACCCACCTTGCTCTTAACAGTCCCTGTGGTCCTTTGCCCAGGATCTTTAGCATTTGAATTAGTTCTTATCTCAGTTTCACCAAGTGTAACATGTGCACAATAAACCATCTCCTCTGCTATTTTAGCTGAAAAAAAAAATGGGCATGCCAATAGTACCACCCCTGCAGAGGTGCTACGGAGATTAAATAAGTGAATGCAAGTGAAGTGTGTAGAACAGTAGGGTTTGTAGTTAGTACTATTACCCCTGAGCCTGGCTTTTGGGGACATCCTTGTCTTAGAGTCTTTACGAATGCTGTGCTTTAACCAACTATAAAGAGGTTACCCCAACAGTGACACTACTGCAAGTTGAATTCCCCAGGACGCAGATTCTGCAATGGGGCTCAGCTTGCAAGAGATTTATTAGGGAGTGCCATCAGGCTCCACACTGCAGGAGGGAGGGAGGGAGGAAGCAGAAGCTACAAAGCAGGCCCAGCAAGAGCCCTGGCCAACCCCACGGGGAACTCCGGAGTTAGAAGGGCCCTTCAGAGTCATCCTGAGCTAGGCCATTATACTCTGCCCCCATCAGTCATCAGATGCAGCTGCCGAGGGAAGGGCCTGGCCGTAGGAGGAACAGCTCTGCCCAGCTGAGCCCATCCCAAGGAGCTCCCACGGGAAGGTGGTCTGCGGACAGCACTCCCAGCAGCTTGGGCAACTATTTCATGGAAGGGGCTCTGGGCAGCCCACCACAGTGTTCCCCACAAGCACTGTGGTGGGAAGGAGGGTGAGGCAGTGTTGTCCAAGTGGGAACAAATGCCTCCTCAAACTTATGCTCCACCTGTCATTTGCCTCACCTGAGTCCCAAACTAGTTCCTTCCCTATTACAAACAATAAAATATCTTTTACAAGGTTCTTCAACCTCACGGAGTTAATGGGCACAGAGTAGATTCTTAGTAACTGAGCAATGTCATTGTTGTCACCCTCCTTCCAGCTCAGCTAAATGCTCAACAATCATTTGTTAAATAAATTAATGAACAGTGTGATTGTCGTCTTTTCCCAGGAAGCTTAAGTGGGTTAGCCGATTACTGAGTAATCCTTTTGAGTTCCTTAATCCACCCTTGCCTCACTCACTTTGCTGTTAGAAGTGCTGGGTCGGGATTAGTGCCCACCGGAAGACCAAGTTGGTACTTGTTGAGTGCCTACTGTGTGCAGGCACAATGGGAACAGGGAGGGCCCTGGTAGGTGCTCTTTTCTTCTCTGGCCTCTCTCTTGGTCTCCACCCACCCTGTAAATAGCGTTACTAGGTGCTGATCCCTATCCAAAGGTCAGAAAACTAGGGCAGAGTCACACCTTATCTATCCAGTTTCTTTCTCTCTACAATAGGGAGGAGAAGAACCCTAACATCAAAAATATATGTGCAAGGCTTCAAATGAGACTAGATTTCTGAGAACACATTGCAAATGGTTCTGTGCTGCTTGGTCAGATGGGTCTGGGGATGGACAGCGATGGCCTCTGCTCTCTAGCTAGTCTGGGTAGAAGAGGCCTGCACATGCTGTGGGACTTGAGATCTGGACAGCCTGGAGCATGTGACAGAGAGTCATGTTGAGGGTTCCAGGCAGGCATGGTTGAGCAGCTCAGGAGCTGAAAGGCTGAGAGCTTATGGTGACAAAAGGGTGAGATGGGGTCAGTTTAGGGAGGACATGAAAGTGGAAGGACTGGACATACATACAGGGCAAGACCCAGAGGGTGCTCCGACAGATGGAAGATATAAGGGTGCTACTCTGGGCTCGGTCTCCTCATCTGTCAAATGGAGACACCACAGGCTTCTTGTGAGGATGAACTAAGGGGATGTCGAGTGCCTGCCTGATGGGCAAATCAAATGAGAGCTGCTGCTGGGAAACGTGACCACAGGAAGAGAAGGAGCCCCAGGTACGCTCCCACCCAGGCTCCTGACACACATGCCCCTTGACCTCCTGGCCTCTGTGACTTTGCTGTACTATGGCCATCACCTGAACTGCGCCCCTTGGGGTCTTTTCCACCTATGAAGGGCAATTTTATCACCATCAGAGCTGGTGAGGGGTCTTTCCCCACCAAACTGTAAGGTTCTGGGGACAGAACTTGACACGTGATCATCCCCACCTCGTCCCGTGTGTGATTCAGAGTCTGTGTTAGGATGTGCTTTAGGATGTGCTGGAGTGAGTGTGGCTACCCTGGCCCCAACCTGGAGCTGAGGCTGAAAGAGAGCCTGGAGCTGGATTCCAAGTTGGAGCCAGGAGCTCTGAATTCTAGTCAAGCTCAATCATGAACTTGTAACCTTGGGTATGATATTTTACTCTCCAAGCTCTGTAGGATGGAGACCACATTCTCCGTACCCATTGCCTCCCAGGCGCTGGGAGGTAGAGATGGGCCAGGGTTGTGGGGGACAGAAGCCT